CCGGTCCCCAGGTCACCTGAGCCAGTGGTGCCCTGCATTTGTTCCCAACCCATCTTCAATTTACAGGTAAATAATTACTCTGAACACCTTCAGCCCCCATTAAAAGAAAACACCTATCTGTAGGTTGACTCCCCAGTGACTCCCACCTCTACGCTTTACCAGAGGCCCAGCCTGGCTGCCACACTCTCTCCGGCCCCCAGCCTGCTCCTTGAAATGCAGGGAAAATGCAAGAAAACCAAATCTTTGGCCCAAAGAGCTAAAACCCAAGGGGCAGAGAGCAGGGGGTGTAGAATGACAAGCAAGCGCTAGGAGTGCTATTTGCAAAATCTAGCCGCCACATTAGTTCCACCTCCATCATTCCACTGCCAGCAAGAAACAAAAGGGGAACGAGGGCACTGGGACCACGGACAGAGCAGAGCTGGCGGGAGGGGGCGGCCTGAGGCCGGTGTGCCTGGCAGGGGGGATCCAAGAGACTGGCTTTTTGCCGACAGACCTTGAGCTCTGCTTGTTCCACAAAACTCCTTTTCTGAGCAGGGAAGCCGGGGACTGGGGAGAGTGGATTTGACAGATTAAATCAACCAAACACGTCAACCTGGGGTGAAAATGACTTCCCGTACTTGTCATTGGCTTAATAATCAGGGTGAGGGGCAGAGACACGGCCACAGGGCCAAACACACTTACAGTTTCCCTTTTAGGTTTCTTGCTGGCCAGTGAGGCAGGGTGCGACTTTGATTTTTTAAAGGGACACTGTCAAAATAAAAATCATACATTTTACAACTACTACCCTCCGTATGGCCCTGGAGCTGGATGGCTGGGGTCGGTCTGGTCTGCTGGCTTGTGGGAGTGCCGCCAGCCTGCGCTTCGCAACTTCACATGCACATGAATTGTGGGGACCTCGCCAAAATGCAGGTTTGGCCTCAAGGGCCTGGCTGGGAGCTGTGCTGCTGGGGGAGTCCACCCTCACCCAATGCCCACCACCAGTCTGGGTCACCTCGAGTAGCAGGTCCTGGGCAGGGGGGTGTGAGAGCGGTTGGGTGCTCCACACAAGTGGGCCTGGCTGGGCAAGGGGAAGGGACATGCGGGCCTCTTAAACTTATCACCAACTTCCAAGTCCTAATGGTGGGTGGGTAAAAAATCAGCCCCAAATCACCCCAACTCATTGGAGAAAATGCCTAGTTTGGGCTCTTCTGGTACGACGTGGAAATGGCTCCGACAGGTAACAGGGCGGACAATAACCACCCTCGGGAGAGGAAGGCACTGGCGGTCACCATCCAAGCCCCAGCCCGCCCTGCACTGTGGGCAGCATCACAGCTCCCAGGCCAAGAGGGGCAAACAGAACCTGGGAGAGTGACACGCAAGCGGCAATAAAACCCATCACCTGAGCAGCCACCCCTCTGTGAAATAGAGTCCTCCCTTCCCAGAGGGAATCACACCCAAATGCTATTCTCTCTCATAAAACTCATTGTTGGAGGAAGTGTGCAGTGTCTGTAACCAAATCCAATGTCAAACAAGTGGGGGGCCTACTCTGAGTCATAAACCCTGATGTCCACAGGGCCCAGCAGGCAAAACAGACAGTGTGGTTGCCCCAGGAGAAGGGGAGGTGATGGGGCTCACCCTGGGGGCAGCCTTGCCTTTGCTCCAGCATCAAGATGACACACTCAGATTTTGAAAGGTAAGTCATAAGTCTGAGTTTTAAGGGAAATTTCCAGAGTTTTAAACATTAGCCCAATTTTCAGAAACAGTATATGGGCCGAATACATAACACCCGCTGGCCCAGGGCAGGAGCCCATCTTCTGGGTGCGCCAATCCAGAGGGTGTGAGTCCTCTTTTCTTTTTAGGGAGTTGGCAGGACCTCTAGGAATCACTAGGTCCAAACACCCTCAGTTGAGAACCAAGAAAACAGACTCACAATTGACAACACTCGTGGACAGCAGGGACCTGGGAGCTTGAGACCCGGACCTGCCCGGCACCTGCTCCCTGGTCCTTCCTCCCCATCTGTCCACCTCGGCCTCTCCTCTCCACCCCCATCCCCACCTCTGTCTGTGTGTCTCTCTCTCTCTCCATGTCTCTTTCCACCTCTTTCTCCCTGTCTGACCATCTCGTAAATATCTCCCTTTCACTCTTATCCCTACTGTGTCTCTCTCTGCCTCCGTATCTATCTCCTGCCCTGTGTCTGTCCACATCTCTGCATTGTGTCTCTACTTCTCTGTCTCTGTCTCTGTCTCTCGCCTGTTTCTGCCCGTACATCTGTCTCACTGTCTGAGTCTCTGCCCACCTCTCTCCCGCCTGTTTCTGCCCGTAATCTGTCTCACTGTCTGAGTCTCTGCCCACCTCTCTCCAAAGCCAGAGCTCAACACCCCTCGCCTGCCTGCAGTAGGTCCACCTCATCGTTTCTCAGGAGCCAGGGCAGGGGCAGTTGCTGAGGGGCCCTGTGTACCCAGGCTGGAGAGGCAGGGAGAGAAGGCACAAAGGGCATGTTACAGCCACAAGGAGTGCCCCTGGCTGTCTGACTTGGTGGAGTGATGGTGACAAGCACTGTAGCTCCAGCTCCTGTGGGGCCACGCTGGGCAGACGAGGACAGAGGCCCAGAGAGCCAGAGGTGGAGGTGCTGGCCAGACAGCCTTGGTCCTGGCCAGGTATTGCTCCAAGGGCTGGGCCCAGGTGGCCTCCTTCCAGCCACCTGACCAAGTCAGCCCCGCTGGGAGCCAGACACTGTCCTAACAGGAAGGCAGGCCCTGGAAGTGTCTGGATGCCTAACAAGAAGGCAGGGCTTCCTCCAAACCCCTCTCCCTCCAGCCCTACGCCCCCCAATGCAGGACGGAAGAGGCACTTACAGAGTGCTCGTCATGGTCCACGCTCTGGGCCAGAACGGGGCTGAAGGAGACGGGGGACAGGGCTCCTGGCTTCTTCCTCACCGCCCGGATCTGCAAAAGGGCCCGGAAAGCTGTGCAGAAGGGAAGGGCTGATGTCAGGCAAAGAGCAGTCAGTTCCAGCACCACTGAGACCCGCCCAGCTGCGGGGACACTGACCACCACCCACACCACAGCAATCCCAGGACAGGCCACGTTTCCAATTCAGGCAGAACAGAGGAAGACAGAGGCCAGGACAACGCTGCCCCAGCTCAGTGGAGCTTTAGAGGCGGCAGGCAGGACGCAGCCAGTCTCTGACCTGCCACACCTGACTGTACCCTAGACAGTGAACATGGCTTCAAGTTACACCTGCCAAACAGCAAAAAGCACACAGCGAGCCCTGGACACTGCGAGTCTCTTCCTGGAAGTTACAGTGACCACAGGCAGGCAGACATGTGCATGTAGACATTTGTGATGGCGCAATGTCTACACAGGTGATGGAAGGAGAGGTGACTTGGGTGATGAACACACACTACAGTGCACAGATGATGTGTTGTGGAATTGTGCCTGAAACCTGTATAATTCTGTTAACTAGCGTCACCCCAATAAATACAATAAAAAGGAAAAAAAATGCTGTCCAGTTCTAACCTCACTGCCAACACCTGCCTGGAGTACCCTTCCCGGCCGTCCTGAATGTCCCGTTTTTCTGGAGGCAGACTTTTGAGACCTGAACCTTTCACATGCCCGCAGCATCGCCGTGGGTGTGAACTACCTGCATTAACCACCAGACTCCCATTCGCTGCGAACCAGGTGGGAGGCTGATGCCTGTCAGTCTCAGTGCCCGGCTGCCCTGGTGCGGGGTCCCCACTCACGCAGCCGGCAGATGGGGCAGTTGCTGGCCTGGTAGCGCAGCGTGTCGGCACAGGAGTTGCACAGGCACAGGTGGCGGCAGGGCAGGATCAGCGTGTCCCGCAGGTCTGACAGGCACACCACGCACTCATTGCTGTTGTCACTGTTCTCCTCGTCTGAAGGCTGCAGGGACAACGAAGGCTGAGGGTCAGTGGCTTTCTGAGAACCAAGAGCCGGAGGCCGGGGGCCAGCTAAGGGGCCGGGAAGGGGCCTTCCTGCTCCTGGCTGCCCCACCAGCCAGCCCCCACGGCCCCTGGGGGCAAAGGGAAGCCCACGAGAGTGGAGGAAGGTCGCTGCAGAGTAGGACGCCTCAGTAGTTGGCCCAGAGTCACGCTCCCTGGGCACCAGGAGCAGATCCAGTCCAAGCCCACCCCACAGCACAGAGGAGAATATGTAGCCCCGCCCAACACACTCCCCAAATCAAGAAACTCAGGTCTATTTCTATTCCCAAAACCAAAGAAAAAATGTGGAAGAGACACAACACTAGGAACACATCTTCCAGAAGGAACCCACTTATTTGGCTAAGACAAACAAACAAACAAATCAGACAAGTCTAACTTGTTTGACATATTTTCATCCAGTAATGGCAGCTTCTGGAAAACAAAATCTGGATCAAGAGGCAGCAACATTTTAAAACAGGGATCGGCAAGCTACGGCCTGCTGTTTCTGTAAATAAAGTTTTATTGAAATACGGCCTCGCCCGGCTGTTTCCATAGCACCTGGCTGCTTCAGTGCTCTAATGGCAGTGTGAATATCCAATGGACACATGCAGGCCAGTCACATTGAAAGTATTTACTATCTGGCCCTTCACTGAAAGTCAGTGACCTCTGGTGTAAAACATGGGAGTCAAGCAGAGAGCGCTCATCTGAGGCCCGGGCCTGGCCAAGCTGCCCTGTCCTGCTTCTGGCCAGTTCCTGCTGGTGTGTGAGACTTCCGGAGATTTTTAAAAGGCGGCAGTTCCATTCGTGCCTTTAAAAAAGGTGACAAAGGCACTGGCTGAGTCTCTGCTAACTTCCTGGCTGTGCCAGACACACTCTGCCAGCCACCACGCCTCTGTCACAGCTATCCAATGGAGCACCCTCTCCCCACATACCACAGGGGCTCGAGTCGGGGGAGGAGCCAGCCGGCAGGGCAGCGAGGCTCACATAATGGTTTTGAGAACAGAAAGGCCAAGGCAGCACTGGCTAAGCCCAATCGGGCAAGAGGGGACCCCACCAGCCAGCAGCCCAACGATGGTAACAAGCCACTGAATTTGCTGGAAAAAGGACAATGTAACTGAACTGTTAACTCCTTTTAAAAAGTTAAGAAAAAATGATGGAACCTGGGGTCCCAGGGCCTCCAGGGGAAGGAGTGGAAGGGAACTGGCTCATCTACATCGACCTGCGGGGTCCTTCCTGGCCGGGGCTGGGGGCCCCAGGCAAGTCATTCTCATGAGCCTGCTTCCCTGCAAGAGGAAGGGAAAGTGGGGAGTGAGGCCAGCCTGGAGTCACGGTGCGTGCTCACCACAGCACATACCTTCGTCTCCTGGTTGTTCTTGTTCTCAATGCCATAGATCTCCTGCAGCAGGTAGCTGACCCGGTCTACCTGGAGAGCAAAGAGGCATCTGGGCACTTGCCAGCCCCCACTCAAGGGCTCCTCAGCACCACCTCCCAGACACCAGGTTTGGGTCCTGGAAGCAGGCACAGTTGGGAATTCTTGTCCAGTCCCAACCCCAGAGAGTGGGTCCAATGCCAGGAGAGGGGCAGGGAGAAACTGCTATCTGCCCAGCCCAACTAGTAGCACGGGAGTAGGGCTGGGGCCCAGGTGGTCCTGTCCACCAGAGAGGGCTTGTAGCCAAGCTTCACACAGGCCCAGCAACCATACCCTCTGCACACTTACTGTCCTCAACCTGGAGAGAAGGCACTATGGACTCACCCATCACCAGCCCCACAAGCATGACCAGGTTCAGGCCTCACCCTGGCCACGTTTAAAAGTGGTCTGAGCTTCTGCGTTTCCCATATTTCCATGGACACAAACATGCCTCCTGAGAGCCATAGTCCTCTCCCAAGACAAGTGCCCTGACCATCCCTAGGATCCCCAGCCCTTCTGCAACCGTCAAGTCTGGATCTGCCAGAGTTCCCCTTACCCCTCTTTTAAAAAACGAACCAACACCATTCCTGGGTGGCTTATACACCTGAGCAGCTACATACAAGGATAACCTAACCATGGACTGGAAACAGGCCCCACCATGGCCATTGTTAAAATCAGTCTCAACATTAAAAGGCACAGTCCAGGGGACCCCATTCTCTCAATGTTCACCGTGTGGAGGACACCAGAATATTTCATCCTGGTTTAGGACCATGGATTACTGACTGAAAAGCTGCAATTCTCTACAGCTCCCACTTGTTCCAAAATACTCCATCTTTCCTCTCAAATATTAAGTAAATCCATTTTTGCCCGATACTGAGGTATTTTCCATAATTTGTGAGGAGGAGGAAGAGGGGAGGCTTCGGTCTGAGTTTCCTGTTTCCTTCCTCTGTCCGTTCGTTCATTCAGCAAACAGTTACTGAAAGCTTATGATGTTCATGCTGGACAAGACTCAGGGCTACCCCAGTCAATGCTGCTGTGCATGGTAGGTATGCAGTACACACGCACCCGATGACCCCGACCCTGACTTCCCAGAGCCCACAGCGATGACAGACCAGTCAACAGGCCTGTCACCAGCTACCTACAGCCACCTTGGTGGGCAGGGAAATAATCCACGGAGTCTACACATATGTCTTTTGAATCAAAAGGGCTCATGACATTTCCTCTGACAGACTTACAATTTGCTTCTGCTTCAACGGCTTCACGGAGAAACTGCCATCCACATGCTGCAGGGAGGAAAACACAGGTTAACTCGGCACTGCTCAGCCAGCTGAAGACCCTTCCTTGGTCAGTCCACATCCATGGCTGGAGAGAGGAGGGGCCGTGTGAAACCTAAAGACCCAAATGCGGCCTCTGACCCGGCCTCGACACTACCCTGACAACCTTCTAAAGATACCACCTCCTGGGTCCCTCCCTGACCTGTAAAGCCAAACCCTCCCTGCGCAGCTCTCAAGCACACTCAAGGTTACAGCCACCAGCCAAGTTCTGATGATGGACAAGAAGCAGCACCTAGACGGCAAGAACTAGACCCCAGTCCTGGCCCTCAAAGGGCTTGACCTAGTCAGAGACACAGCCCAGAACATGCACGTGCTGGGGCAAGTGGTCCTGCCCACCGTGGAAGGCCTGAAGCCAAGCATCATGCGGGAAAACCCAAAGGTCTAAACACTGTGAGAACAAACTAGAGCAAACGTGTTCAGTGGTAACTGGGAGACATACTACTCAGAGTCGACAAGATTAATTAAGGTACGAGATCAGATCTTACACCACCACCAATTATCCTTCTGAGTCAACTGAGACTAGCACGTGCATTTTCTGGGAAAGCTGGTGGGTTCCTACAGAAGTTTCTTGTATGTTGGACTCCAAAAATAATGCAGTTTCTCACTGAGCTCTAAACTGGAAGCACAGAATGAAATATTTGCCAGCGATGGCCCATCCGCTTCAGCCAGAGAAGCAGATGGGTAAATAGTTCCTGTCGCTTCCAGCCAGGCTTAGGGAGCACAGCTGGCACCCAGAACTGGAGAGACAGAGGGCCAATCTCTGCTCGGGCACTTGGCATTGCCACCGCCTCAGAAGGCCAGCGAGAGCACTGGGCAAAGGGGCCAGAAAGGTCTCAGGCCTGGCTATATTGACCTCTGGGCATCTGGAATGACCCGGATCACAGGAATGGCCAGGCTCTGCACGGAGGATCTCAGGGCTGCAGACACACAACCGGCTGAAGAAGCTGGGGGTCAGCAGGATGCCCAGGAGTGGTGGGAATTCCAAAACAAGTAGACTGAGCCTGGTTTCCTCGTGGGGTCCTTAATGCTCATCCCCATAGGCCACAGACTGGTGTCAAAAACACTATACAGAGCGCCAACCAATGTCAGAGAGCACTGGGGGTAGGGTGTCAGGCGCGGCATTTTCAAACACAGGACATACCCCACTACCTCTGTTAAAGGTCTCAGTGAACAGGGACCCTGTCCCAACACAGCGGGAGAATCGTTTGCTGCGTGGATGACACGGAACTGCCTAGCCCCAGGACCAGTAGTGACAGGCCAGCGGGACTATCTCTGGACCCAGCAATGTCCTAATGTGGACACAGTGGTGAGGCAGACCATCCTTGCCACTAACTGCGCCCGCAAACACAGCCACAACACATGAACACCGGGGCAGCCTGGGGACTGGGGTCTTTGTGGAAAGAAGGGGCAAACACCAAAGTTCAAAAATATCTAATGCAGACTAAAGGCACTACTAAATGAATCCTCTCACATAAATGGCCCCTTTACATGTGGGGTATCCCCTCTTTTCCCTCCACCACCCACAGAGGTCTAGGACCATACTATGCAGGTGGCACCCTCGCCCACCCCACCAGCATTCACTGAGCACCTACTGCATACTGAAGCCAACAAACTAGGGGCCATTCTACCCTCCTGGACATCAGATGAGTGAGTACAATGAATGACTGCCCAAAGTTAGGCAGGCCCTAGTGGAGAGGGAGGCCTGCCCAGCCCCGAGGGACCAGGGGATGCAGCCTTCTGGAGGCGAGGCAGGACCACTTGTGAATGTTCAGGGTCCATGTTGAGAGGTTCCGATGACACTCAGGATCCTGGGTCTGGTGGGAAAGGCCTCGGCCTTAGGAGCTGGTGGCTTGGACAATCCCCTCAAATCCCAGAGGGAAACTGGTCTGACCAGAGCCCTCCAAGTAGGCATCCCGTTCCGGGTACTGGCAAGTTATAGGGACTTGTAGCGGACTGGCTTCCCAGAACATGCCTCACCACACAGCACAGGCCTGATGGTGACGCTCGACTTCAAGGCCCAGCCTCCTGAGATGCATCATCTCCCCGGGAGCCTGGATCGACTAGGGAACCTTCCATCCGCCCTGGGCCTCAGGCACTAAGCCCACATGGCCTGGCATAACCCCCAAGTTCAGACTTCTGGTCTCAAAACACCACCTCTTTGCCCACAGCTCCCAGGTCAAGGGGCAGGATGGCACTTACCTTTTCAAAGGCAGCCAACAGCACGTGGGCGTGGCCAGTCACCTCCACAACTGCCCAGGAGAGAAGAGAGAGAAGAAAGCACTCAGAGAGCTGACATGCCCCACCCCATCTTCCTTCTCCTTCCTCACAGCAGTGCTTTCCCGCTCTCAGCCTAGAACCTTCCTCTGCCTGGGGTCCCGACCTCCCTCTGGCTCACATCTCTCCCCTCCTCTAAAGTGACCACGCTTAACACCTGTTGTCTCACTCTGAACAAAAGGGACATTTCAGGCAGGGCTGAGGAGCCCTGGCAGAGCTCCAGCATTCACACCCCAGGCTGGGGGCCTGAAGCCCACAGCAGGGGGAGGGAGACTGGGCAGGACTGGCTGGGTCAGTTAGGAACCCAGCATGGCCTGAGGAGGGCCTGTCTAGATCTCTGCTGCTCTCTGCTTACGGTCTCCATCATTCCACTGCAGGGCGGACACCAGAATCAGAGGCTGTCTAGCTGATGTTACTGCCATGAGAGCGAGGCATTGGCGTAGGGCCTTGCCACTGCGGGTGGGGACCGGCTGGCCAGGAATTCCTGAGCTGGAGTGAGGCCCCACAGCCCCAGGTAGGAGAAGTACCAAGGGGGCCCCAGAGCGGAGATGGAAAGCTGGTTCTAAACGTGCTAAGAAGGCTTCCCCATCCTTCATCACTTCTGGATACATTCCTCCCTGCTGACAACGGGGAGGGCCTCAGGAAATGGTTCTTCTCACAAGGTCCACTAGCTGGAAGGGAGTAGGAAAGGAAAAAGGCTTCTCACCGTCTCCTTCGTCCACCACGGCCTGGATGACCACTGGAAACACTCCCCGGTCCAGGTCAAAGTTCAGCTGAGGAGAAAAGGCGGTGAGATGGGTCAGACTGCACTGGAGAAGGTGCAGGGAGAGTGGCATCACAGCAGAGCTTGTGAGGACAGACAGCAGCGAGGACAGAGTCCTGGCTGTGCGCGCTCGCGTGTGTGTTAAAACAGATAAAAGTGTTTAAAATGGCAAGTTTGTATTCAATTCTATGGCATTAAGTACATTCATAAGGTCTTGTAACCATCACCACCATCCATTTCCAGAACGTTTTATCATCCCAAACAGGAACTCTTGTCCCCATTAAGCTACTACTCCCATCGCCCCTGCCACACACACACACACACACACTCTCTCTCTCTCTCTCTCTCTCTCTACTCTGTAAGAACTTGCCTGTTCTGGACATTTCATAGAAACGGAATCATTCGCTATCTGTCTTTTGTGTCTGGCTTCTTCACTCAGCATGCTTTCTAGGTTCACCCCTGCGACGGCACATCAGCTCTTCCTTCCTTCTCAAGGCTGAGTAATATTCTGCTGCGTGGCTAAACTGGTCACCTCTAACGGACATCTGGGTTGTTCCCCCTCTGGCTGCCATGGCCAGTGCTGAGATGAACAATGCAGATAAGCAGCTGTTTGAGCCATTCTCAGTTCACCTGGGCACACCAGGCATGGAAGGGCTGGGTCACATGGGACTGTGTTCAACCTTAAGAAAGGTGCCTGGTGAGGCCCCAACCCAAGATGGAAGGAAAGCAAAGGGACCACGTGGCTGGTCTGAACTCGAGGAGAACCCTCCCGTCACTTCTCCTTCTCCAGCTTCACTCCCTGCGGTCCCAGCTGCTCTCAGGCTGACGGCCAAGCTCCTCCTGACATGTCCACGTGGGCGTGGCCTCCAGATCCACTGGCCAGTGGGGGCTGTGGGGCAGGTCACACCAAGCCCACAGGAGAGAGACAGCTACTGAGGGCACCCACAGCAGGGGCTGCACAGGAGAGGCCTGGAAGGTGCCCGTGGGTCCCTGGCCATCAGTGGGAGGCAGGACTGGGAAAGGAGCCAGATGCTGGGACAGGGTCAGACCCAGAACTGCCAGGTTGGAGCATAGCTCCCTAACCCAGCCTGTTTATCCATCTAAAAGAGGGATAAAAGCTGCGTCTAATGCAGTGGTTCTCAACCTGTGGGTAGAGACCCCTTCGGGGGTCGAACGACCCTTTCACAGGGGTCGCCTAAGACCATCGGAAAACACATATATAATCATATTGTTTTTGTGATCACTATGCTTTAATTATGTTCAATTTGTAACAATGAAAATACATCCTGCATATCAGATATTTACATTATGATTCATAACAGTAGCAAAATTACAGTTATGAAGTAGCAACGAAAATAATTTTATGGTTGGGGGTCACCACAAAATGAGGAACTGTATTAAAGGGTCGCAGCATTAAGAAGGTTGAGAACCACTGCACTATAACCTCTGAGCCTCAGTTTCTTCGTCTGTAAAGTGGGAGGGGGTAGAGTAACAGTGTCTATCTGTGCCCAGTGCCTGAAACACCTGACTGATAGGAGGAGCTCAACAAATAGTCACCTGGAAGGTGACCTGGAGTGAATACAGACTTAGACCAAGATTTTCTTGAACATTGTAAACTTAATTCATTTTAATCTCTGCATGCCCCGTGACCCTAGCACAGGACCGGCACAGGACTGGTGCGGGAGAGCACTTGCTGGGAGAGTTGGAAGCAGCCATGGATGGGCAAGTGGGCACAAAGATGTGTGCACGGGTGGGTGGATGGACAGGCATGTAGCTGGATCAATGATGGATGGAGAAGTCGGACATCTGGGTGTATAAATGTGTGCTAAGTGGGGGGAGTGGAGGGATGGTGGGTGGGTGGGGTGAGGGTAGAAGAAATAAATACGGGACACGCCCTCATTGTGATCTGTCTGCTGGAGGGCTTCAAGATGGAGTGAACCCAGAAAGCACGTATCAGCAGGCCAAGGCCCACGTGAGGCAGCAGCTCTGCCTTTACGAGTGTGTTCTCCAGGCTAACCCACACGGGGATGGTGTGGCCAGGACACAGGTGACCTGCACCACTGTGTGCAGTAATGACATGTGGAGGCGGCTTCGACTTTATCACTCCGAGCAGGAGGGAGGCCTGGACTAGGGCCTCACACCTTAGAACAGCACCTGGTGGGGGCAGGCGATTCGTCCGTACCTTGGAATTCTGTGTGGCCATTAAAAATGGAACGGCTCTTTATGTCTTGAGTGGAATAAACTCTGATATATCATTAAGAGGGGGGGAAAAATCAAGGTTCAGCTAGTGTGTGTACAGTGCTTTCGTTTTCTGGTTTTTAAGGGGTGGCAGGGAGAAGACACGTAGATATTTGCTTCTCCAAGATGAGCGCCCCCCCCACCCCCCGCCGCCAGGAGACTGGTGACTGGTCCTCCCAGGAAGGGCGCCGGGCCTGGGGAATGGCCAGCACTTCACCGGATCCCCTTGTGGACTTTCTCAGTCATGACCCAGGCAGATAAGTTGTCTTGTCAAGCACAGACTGAGCAGCGTGGAGTGCGTAGCAGAGCTCCTTGGAGGAGGAGCAACCTTGGTCCCCAACATGATGAACTGTATTAAAGGGTCGCGGCATTAGGAAGGCTGAGAACCACTGGTCTAATGCAAAGGCTCTGAGCATGGTGCCTGGGAGAGCACACAGTGAGCACCAGCCACTCGAAGCTGCGTGTGTTCGACAGCAGGAGCCAAGGCAGGCAGGCGGAAAGACACAGGGCTTGGACCCCAGGAACAAAGGACTTCGTGGGGACGTGTGCAGGATAGCTACATGTGGGGAGGTGTCCGGGCCCACCCAGGCCTCATGCTCCCACAGCTCCAGGGTGGAAGGGCTGCACCAAGGAAACTGGGACTTATGGGAGGAGGGACCACCTGTCTGCCCTGCTCTCTTGCTCTGAGATGATTCTTGGGAGAGGGGATCACCCAAGACAGGAGTCACATGTCTGGGGGACAGGGTCCCTCTGCAAGCTTGTTCCTGCCCTCCCATCCTGAGTCAGGACACAGGAACAATCTTGCCAACGACCATCCCAGTTACTCTGGTGACGATGACACTGAGTGTGATACACAGGTGCTGCCCTCTCAAGGGCTGTAATTAAGCCCAGAAGGAGGTTGTTCAGGTGACAGAGCCAGATCGGGAGCAAAGCTTTGTGCAATTCGTCCCATGTACTTCCGGCCAGCTTTGGGAATATAATCCTTGGCGCTGATGTCGGTGCCTTAGAGCAACCACCAAGTGATTTGCATTATCTTTCTCCCCTGCACAATAAGCCAAGTGCTGCCTCAGTACAGCTGAGTCTTGTTTTGCTGTTGAACTAATAGCGGTGGTCTGGAGAGATGTGTGCGGTGGCTACACCACCAGCAGGCAGGGACTCTGGACCCTTTCTTCTCCTGTCTCTATGGCAGATAGGGCTCACGATGGACAGTCCAAGCCAAGTGAGCACTGTGTATGAACCCCTGAGAGAGCCTGAGCTAAGTGAGCACTGTGTACAAACCCCTGAGGGACAGCCTGAGCTAAGTGAGCACTGTGTACAAACCCCTGAAGGAGAGTCTGAGCTAAGTGAGCACTGTGTACAAACCCCAGAGGGAGAGTCTGAGCTAAGTGAGCACTGTGTACAAACCCCAGAGGGAGAGTCTGAGCTAAGTGAGCACTGTGTACAAACCCCAGAGGGAGAGTCTGAGCTAAGTGAGCACTGTGTACAAACCCCAGAGGGAGAGTCTGAGCTAAGTGAGCACTGTGTACAAACCCCAGAGGGAGAGTCTGAGCTAAGTGAGCACTGTGTACAAACCCCAGAGGGAGAGTCTGAGCTAAGTGAGCACTGTGTACAAACCCCAGAGGGAGAGTCTGAGCTAAGTGAGCACTGTGTACAAACCCCAGAGGGAGAGTCTGAGCTAAGTGAGCACTGTGTACAAACCCCAGAGGGAGAGTCTGAGCTAAGTGAGCACTGTGTACAAACCCCAGAGGGAGAGTCTGAGCTAAGTGAGCACTGTGTACAAACCCCAGAGGGAGAGTCTGAGCTAAGTGAGCACTGTGTACAAACCCCAGAGGGAGAGTCTGAGCTAAGTGAGCACTGTGTACAAACCCCAGAGGGAGAGTCTGAGCTAAGTGAGCACTGTGTACAAACCCCAGAGGGAGAGTCTGAGCTAAGTGAGCACTGTGTACAAACCCCAGAGGGAGAGTCTGAGCTAAGTGAGCACTGTGTACAAACCCCAGAGGGAGAGTCTGAGCTAAGTGAGCACTGTGTACAAACCCCAGAGGGAGAGTCTGAGCTAAGTGAGCACTGTGTACAAACCCCAGAGGGAGAGTCTGAGCTAAGTGAGCACTGTGTACAAACCCCAGAGGGAGAGTCTGAGCTAAGTGAGCACTGTGTACAAACCCCAGAGGGAGAGTCTGAGCTAAGTGAGCACTGTGTACAAACCCCAGAGGGAGAGTCTGAGCTAAGTGAGCACTGTGTACAAACCCCAGAGGGAGAGTCTGAGCTAAGTGAGCACTGTGTACAAACCCCAGAGGGAGAGTCTGAGCTAAGTGAGCACTGTGTACAAACCCCAGAGGGAGAGTCTGAGCTAAGTGAGCACTGTGTACAAACCCCAGAGGGAGAGTCTGAGCTAAGTGAGCACTGTGTACAAACCCCAGAGGGAACAAACCCCTGAGGGAGAACCTGAGCTAAGTGAGCACTGTGTACAAACCCCTGAGGGACAGCCTGAGCTAAGTGAGCACTGTGTACAAACCCCTGAGTGACAGCCTGCGTTAAGTGAGCACTGTGTACAAACCCCGGGTGGACACCCTACACATAGGATGTTCCTACATCCAGGTGCCAGATGGGAAACCCACACTTGCAGAGGTAGCACAATCTTGCCCAGTGCTTCATGAGAGCCAGGGTCACCTCCAGGCCTGCCCACCTGTGTCCTCAGTTCCTGAGATAGGACCCAGGACACCCTTGGTATTTCCATCCTTGAGACTCTGCTCTTATCCAGCCTGCCCCAGATCT